ATCCCGAGGTAATATAACCCGTAAATGAAAAATTACACTGAAAAATTCCACACTTGTCTTCGGGGTAGAATTACAAAATAATATTCCGCATGGAATGTGAGATCACACACGAAAGTAATTTGTCGCTAATATGGGCGGTAATTAAATTGCCACTGGTACCGGTGGAAAAATGTTTACCAGTGAAGGTCATGACATCGGTTTTTTTGGATAATTTTCATTGCTAGAGGTCATTCCGAATTGAATGAGCCCTGGATCATAATTTCCGGTGCCCTTAGACAGAAGATCCAAAAAAAGGGTCTATTGACCCAGACTATAAAATCTGAAAGGTTTCTCGAGACACTGACTTGACTTACATTCGTAATTATTTTTTTTTATGTGACTGTTGACGTTATTCATATTCAGTTGTGCTTCTTTGATTTGACAAGCAGTCTTAGCGCGTATAGAGACGTTATTTTTAGGGTTTCACTCATGGACGTAATTTAATCTATTCAGACAATTAGTTGTTTAGAAGGTTTCTTCCAAATGTATTTACTTCGAGGAATATTGAAAACCGAAATGGTATATCATAGCGACAGTGAATAAGCGCGATAATTGAAGCACAATGTTTAGCTGTAATTTTGGATTATCAAATGAAGTGATTATTGTCAACTCACACATGATTTAAATTACGCTTACGGAACATCGGTAACGGTGCTAGACTATAAAATAATGGAATCCTCTCCATTTTGCCTAAAAGATAGATTGAAAGTAAAAAAAGTTGCTTGCTTCTGCATTATGCATTAGGTAAAGTCTAACGATTCGACATAATATTCTGTACGTCAACATACAACATTCAGTTGTAGCATTTCCATTTTTAGACCGCGCCAAAGTAGTTATTTGTTATTTATTGTCTCGTCACGACAACAAATACTTTCATTGATGAATGCACCGATAAACATTTACAAGTGAATAATATTTAACTCTTAATTGATTGTTACATCAATATCAATGACACTGATGGTTCACAGTGTTGCCGATGATACTATAGGAAAGCATGAATACCAGAAATATTTTCATTTCATAGAAAATGTAGGACATTTTTGGCAAAATGAATCAGTTTCTTCCATGTACTGCTTTTGTTTTGGTGTGAAAAAATTGTTTTTAATGGGGGTTTCAATTCTAATCTAGAGCAGGGGTCTCCAAACTACGGCCCGCGGGCCAGTGTCATCAATCCGGCCCGCGACAGCCAATGATTACCTAATTGTTGTTACTATTGCTGTGAGAAATTGAAGAAGAAAACAATTAATGATAATTACTCGGTTTTATTTACTTGCAAGGTAAAACTTAACGACAGAAATGATGACAAAGAAAGTATCTGAGTTTAAGCATAAGTATCTAAGTTTAAGCATATTAATAACTAACAAATAATTGAAATGAATCACAGTAAAACAAAAACACTAATGAGATTTATGTAATTGTGATTTTCCACAAAAGATGTCTACAAAATTATCTCAGTTATTATTAAAAAAGTGATTATTTTTGAAAACTTTGCCACCCTATATCTCAAAAGTTAAGGCGTTTAGGACATACGTCCATAGGACGTTTTTTCCTTAAAATAGGTCTTAAAATTACCTCCTTAAATATTAGCATGTGTTTAAGGAACACCCTGTATTTGGCAGAAAAAACTTCACGTCATAGTTTTCCAGGCCGCCTGGGGGGATGAAAATGGGATGAAAATATTTTAAAATTTCGTAACATTAATAGTCGACTTTGTACACCTACAAAATTGAGAGATCTTACTCCTGATGATCTATTTGACAGAAAAAACTTCACGTCACAGTTTTACAGGCCCTCTGAAGGGGTGAAAATATTAAAAAATATCGTAACATGGAAAATCGACTTTGTTATCTATAAAATTGAGAGATGTTATTCCTGATAATCTATTCGACAGATGAAAATTTGTCATAGTTTTCCAGACCGTCTGAAGGGATGAAAATTGGATGGAAATATTAAAAAAATTCATAACATGAAAAATCGACTTTGTACATCTACAATATTGAGATATGTTATTCCTGATGATCTATTCTATCGAATAGATCATCAGTATCTGCTACCTAGGACCTTCCAAGTTATTGTTTATTCATGATTCCTCGTGACATTGAAATGATAACAGTCATAAGTTTTGTGGTGGGTATGTTTATGAAAATGCATTGTTACGGAGCCCTGAAGAAGAATTTGAATAAAATCGAAACGTTGGCAAGAAACCTATTGTTTCTTTATAAAAAATTGATCCTGTTATCCAACGAACCCGTCTTGAAAAAATAATTGGTTCACTAAACCAGGTAATTAAACAGAAACGTTGATCTTCATGAGTCCTATTCATCTATCACATTCCGCAGATGACACAAACTGTTAGCGTTGTGTTAACTAGTCTCTTTCGAAAACACACTCATCATTGGCATCGGTTCCAGGAAATTTTCCCATCGTCGCGTGATGGGAAAATTTCCTAAATAATGTACACAACAACCCGGCATAATTACGGTGGCGATTATATCAATCATAGGAGAAGGAAACTGTTTCAAAAATCTGTTTCAGATGTCAAAACGGACTTCTATTTTCATTTGTTTTCGGTTTCGACACGAACTGTTTTTCACCAACTTCCAATCGTTTATTTATAGATGATATTAATTTTTATTGCTGCGCCATCAAATTTGTCATTTCCTTTGCTTGAAATTGAACGAGATTCGATTTGAAGATGAGGTACGTCAAGAAATTGCAGTTTAACGATGGTGGAAAGAGAAACAGGATCTCTATGCACGAATTTATTCGACTTGAAAACTGATAAAGTGCCGTCATCGTACTTAAATAGTGCGCAAATGAACTCGCACCGGAATTTTGGCAAGACTTTTCGACCTGTCTTAATTTTAATATTTAGTTGCAAAAAACGATTGTTAATTAACAAACGCATTTTTTAGCAACAAAGAAAGGTTTTTAAGAAACCATTGTTTTTCTGAAAAACATGATTTTTTTCCATTATCATAAGGCAAAAAAAAATTTTCGAATTGCTTATAAACAATAAAAAAATAGAAAATAACAATTTTTTTATTTTGGCAACGGTAATCACTATTTTTAACTGATTTCAATTATAATTGTAGAAATACTTCCACTAGGGAAAAAATTAATTGGTAATCCCAATGTCTCACTCATTGTACAAAAAAAAAAATTGTAGTTATATCTAATTGAAAATTCCTTCCATGAAATATTCTTGTGGACAAGTCATTTTCAAGGTCCATCTTTAATGGTATGATTCACAGTATGAATTATTAATTTTTTTTCAATTCCAGAAAACGTTCATCATGAAGTAATAGAAACAAAATCCATTCGAACTAGATTGCGCGTTGTTTATTTTCAATTATGAATTAGTTTGAATTGGCAGGCATCCAAATTTCGAAACGTAAAATTAATTAATGTGCAGGGATTATTTTAATTTGTTGTCATTCTGATTCATCCGCTTTGTAGACTAAATAAACATTAATTAGTTATAGGATGAAACACTTATGCGCCTACAAAATGTCCTTCGGAACGGTGGGAAAGATGTTCATATTGTTCATTTCGAAGAGATTGATGACATGTGTCATTTCACAAAATTTGGATTGGTCTTCACAGAGAATAATGACTAAGGTGTCAGTCGTATCGTAATTTCACCCACTAATTCATGTTGAGCAAAAGAATAGTTTGAAAATTGTAAACGATTTTGTTGAGCAAGAAAGAGAGGTTTGTTTTTTGCGAATATCTTTGAAACTATTCCAGTTTCTCGAAATTTGAATGAATATCCTCAAAGAGGATCGTCATTCAACACGCTTTTATCAGTTTCACCTGTTTGTTTGTTTGTAACTTTCCTTTCCATTTCATATTTATTCCCGTTTGAATGCTGTATTTGACAGAATTATCGACATTATTGCTTGATCTATTCGCGGGCAGATGGCGCTCTACGTAACCTCCTTGATATAATTCGAACTCACTTTACATGTGTTTTTTTATTTGAAAAAGTATTTTTTTCATTAACACGCCCGCCTGATGCCTAATGTGTAACCCTCCTTTGCGCGCCTACTGGCCTGGGCTTGGTAGCTGATTTTTCAGGCTCCCTCTCCGGAATGTGAAAATATCAATGGTCATGTTTCTAAACAATACAGGGCTTTTCATGATGAGCGTTAATTAGCCGTTTCTGGCAAACTATTCAACGGATCAACCTGAAAATTCCACAGCATGCATAAGTCAATATGACCGACACGCCTAAAATATTTTAGACGAAGCGGCATTGTCGCTTCTACTATAAAGTAGCGGCTTCTTTGATTTTTCAAATAGAACACTCCGTATATAATATCATATTAATACTAATATTTTTCGTTCGTTATTGTTTTGAGCTTATTTTTAAAAAACTATCTGCGGGCAGATTTGCGCCATCTGCCCGCAAATAGTTCAAGTAATATCAAGGAGGTCACGTACAGCGCCATCTGCCCGCGAATAGATCAAACAATATACATATATACAGGTGAAGCTAATATAAAGCGTGTAAAAAATGTAATAGTTCGAGACAAATCCTTGAACGTCCCCCGTAACTACGACAGTTTCTAACATTTTTCCATTGCATCACGAAGGTTTTTGTATCGTCCACACGATATGTTTGCGAAATCTATCCGTGCGTAGACAATAGATTTGTCGTTACGGGCAGCGTGCCAAAAGTTTTGCAGATAAATAAATGGGGCATTATTTATTAGAATCAAGACTAACAAACAGCAATATTTTTGGATAATATCGACTTTCTGTAAACCTCGGGGTATTTGTAGACGATTCTGGAAATTTGTTTGATTCATAACTCAAGCAGAATTCTCGATTAATATGTGGATTCTTCCCACGCTTCGTGCGTGCCAATTGAAATAAATCGCTATTATAGAACATTGAGAATCATTACAGGATGTAAAAATATCGTCATTTCTAATGATTGGTTTCTTTTGTTTCAGTATGTGGAGATATTCACGGTCAATTTTATGACCTCATGAAACTATTCGAAGTGGGAGGACCACCTGCCAGTACAAAGTACCTTTTTCTTGGTGACTATGTTGATAGAGGATATTTTAGTATAGAGGTAAGGCTTAATGAACTGTTTGCTTTTTTACATATTTGAAAATTGGAAATGAAATTTCTAACAAACGGCAATATTACCTACAATGCTTTTCAAACGAGATCCCATCTCAAAATTCAGAAAAATCATTACTTACTAATAATATAGTTTACACATTGGAAATGGTGAAAAATGGTCGGAAAAATACGTGCGATGGCTACTCAATCCGAAATTATATCTAGCAAAATGTGCTGAAACCGTTTTTCAGAAAATAAAAATTGCAAAAGTTTGAACAAATCAAGATGTAAAAAAAGGTATTTATGTTTTCGTAGATGTTTCCAAAACTATAGAGAATAGAAAAATAAAAAAAAACACTTGAAGAGGAGGAAATTTACAAAAAAAGTTCCACCTTACGAAATATCAGTGTACTTGAGTTTCATAAAGGGTTTGAAAAAATGTATATGTTATTTTTTATAATTTTTTTTTCAGTAAAAAATTGAATAAATGACGTATTGTCATAATTTTTTTAATGTTTATTATCATATTACCGATCATGTATTAAATAAAGACATTCGGTAAGTGGAACAAAAATGTCATTTGTCTATAAATTGTTTAAAACGAATAGACTACGTGAGTATCAAAAAGTAATTTTGTTGTCTTCATATTGGTTTTAAGAAAAAAATTCTCATCAATTTTTTTATTATTTTCAATCGTTTTTTATACAGTGTGATCCATTTTTAATGGAAACACCCCCCTAAAATTTGAAGTTGTAAATCGATTTTAATAATTTTTTTTTAATGTCAAGTACTGAAAGGTACACCTTGGGACAAAATTTTAAATGTTCATTAAAGTTTCAAGGCATACTACGATATTTTTTCTTAGTCGAAAATCGGGATTTTTTATTAGCGATTTTTTTATTGAAAACATCACTACGCCACTGGATTCAGAGTGCCTCGAAATAGGTGTGACCAAAATTTCATGGAAACAGAGTCAAAGTTATGACAACTCAAAAATTCGAAAACTCACACGGTTAACAGTCACAATATATAATTTTTTTATGATTTCAACAATAAAGTGCCGCCAAATGAAAAAAAAAACAAATAGCGTAAATATTTTTACTGAAAATAACGGAATTACATTCACACAATTCAACTAACAATGAAGCAAAAAATTTTAATAAACGTAACTAATAACTAATTATTGAAATGTTTCGATTCAGTGCAACAATTAATTCTAATTCATATTCTAATAGCCTCTACTAATCCACCACGTATTTCGATACATGTGTCGTAGCGTTACGAATGTTTCTGATTACGTTCCTTAGTTCTTGAGGGCTAATATCTGCACATACCTGTCGAATTAAAATCAACAATCAAGGCAAAATATAAATTATAGTTCAATACCACCTCCACAAGCCACATAAACAACAGTTGTTTTGTTATTTATTTATATAGAGGAAGATAGGTTAGGTGCACAAAATGTCATATGTCACAGAATGTCTCGGAACATAAGTAAACAGAACAGCACGCCTGAATGCATTATTTCATTCCTCTTTTTTAAGTATTCAAATAATTTTTAACAGAAAAAGGTTGAAATCATAAGTTTAAAATGCGTTGTTTTAGAGCTCTGTTATGAAAACTACTTGATTTTCGTCAGGAGGAACATTCCCCATTGACAGATTTTTCAAATGAGTTTTTCAACAAATTTGTAACTATAATCAGTCGATATTAATTTGCATTTGTTAAAAAAAATAACAGGCCTTTTTGACATTTTTCGAAATTTCTTTACTTCTAGCATGATAAATAACGCAAATATTTTTCCGACTCGTCAATGAGTCTCAAAGATGATTGATTCTTGATTCTGCTAGAACTTTCAAAGAAATACTCAAAAATCAGTCCCAAAGATGATTTACTCTCAACTCTGGTAGGACCTACGAAGAACTACTCGTAAATCAGTCTCAAAGATGATTGATTCCTAATTCTGGTAGAACTTTCGGTTCGACGTGAGTTCTTTGTTACTCAAACGACCGCCGTGTCAGTCGGTGGTTCAAGCTGCAGGCTGAACGATCGATTTTCATTTGCTATCGTCCAACCAGTGTTACTAATCACACGTTAGAAGGTGTGACCTCGTTAGTCCTAAGCTCGCCACAAGTTTCGACTTCTGAGGGTTGTCGTTCGTAGGGGTGCGACAGCTGGTAAACGGAAAAACATATTTTTTTATTACTCAATAATGAGTCGAATAGATGTTTCACTCTGAATTTTGGTAGAACCTACAAAGAAATCCTCATGAATGAGTCTCAAAGGTGGTTAATTCTGGTAGAAACTGAAAAGAAAGACTTTAATGAGTATCAAAGATGATCAATTCCAAATTCTGGTAGGACCTCCAAAAAAAATCATGAATGAGTCTTGAAGATAATCATTTTTCAATTCTGGTAGAATCTGAAAAGAAAGACTCATTAATAAGTCTATAAAATGACTGACTTTTAATTCTGATAGAACCTACAAAGAAATACTCATTAATGAGTTTCATAGATGATCAATTCCTAATTCTAGAAGAACCTACGAAGATAATCAATTCACAATTCTGGTAGAACCTTAAAAAAAACCATTAATGAGTCTCAAAAATGACTGATTCTTAATTCTGGTAAATCCATTGGATTTATGTATTGATTGTCAGACCAATGATCACAGAGAGAGGCTAGATGGACTGCATATAGACTTGTGCACATTGCCAATTGCACAAATCAATTAAATGCAGAGTGCAACAGATATTTGGTTAACACTGGAAGTCACAGCATTCTGCAAATGACGTCTGACTTCATGCCTTCAACTGTCAACTACGAACTGCCTTATAAAGTACTGTTCCCGAGTAGAGGACTGGATCCTCTGGGAGAACGAAATATCAAGAGCAGATAGTTGTTGGGTTACAAATGGATCAAAAATATTTTCCGGTTCTGGTTCAGGTGTTTTCAGTCGCAGACCCAGGACAAAAATATCAATCTATTCAGGAACCTATGCGAATGTATTTAAAGCAGTAATTTATGCTATTGGATTGTGTTCTGAGAGATTGGAAGGATCCAACCTCATACACAAGTCAATAAAAATATCCTCAGACAGTCAAGCGGCATTGGAAGCTCTTGACTCCTATCGAGCAAAGTCTAAATTGGTAGCTAATTGCCAAAAACGACTCGCCTTGATAGGAAGACTTGAAATATTGTCTCTGGTCTGGATTCCTGGCCAAACTGGTCTGGAAGGCAATGAGGCTGCTGACTCCTTTGCAAAGGAGGGTGCTGCAAGCAGCTTCATCAGACAAGAACCTATCATTGACATTGCTTTAGGCTTTGCCAAACAAAGATTGAACACCTGAACGGCAAGAAGATTTATGGACTTCTGGCAGAATCTTCCAGGATAAGCTCACTCCAAGGCGTTTATTTATCCTTCGAAGCTTGATACAGTTGTTGGACTACAGTAGGGATGAACTACGATGTCCAACAGGCCTTCTTACAGGTCACTGTCATTTAAATCATCATATGCAGAGACTTGGACTGTCAGAAGACAGTGTGTGTGTTGCTTTGTGTTTGGAAAATGATGAAACAGCATGCCTGCCCTGCTGGGGAACGGGGACTCACTACTTTGTCTCAAAGATAATCTAATATTAAGCACATATTATCTCTAACATCAATGTATGGCTTAAGGAAATACATTATGTATTGCAAAAAATGTAACAAGGCAAGAAGATAACACTCCGTCGTTTCACAGTATATCGTTTTATCTAAAAAAAATCAGACATGCACTTTTTAATGTTCGTGCTGCTTTACCTGTTCATTAAGTGTGATTGAAACTTTTTTGTTTTTCTTTTGTTGGCAGTGCGTGTTGTACCTGTGGGCACTGAAGCTTTGTTACCCTACTACCCTTTTTCTACTGCGTGGCAACCACGAGTGTCGACATTTAACAGAGTACTTCACGTTTAAACAAGAGTGTAAGTATACATTTTTAGGTTTGTTTTCTCTCAAGAAAACAAGAGTGTAAGTATACATTTTTAGGTTTGTTTTCTCTCAGCTGATTATGTTGTAAGGTGTTTTTCACTCTAACATTTTTATGTGGTTATGGCAACCCAATATGATGTTGTAAATGGGATGGATTTGTCCGCTTTTTAATATATTGTTGACAAATTGATTTGCAGGTAGTGGTTCCAATAGTTAATTACCGAAAAATCAATTAGGATAATCATCGTTTAACAAACAAAGTCCACATCGGACCAAAAAACTTTAGGTATATAAACAGCTAACCCTTGTCTTCAGATTCAGTATCAATTTGCTTCTCCTGAAGATGCTAACCTTGCTAGCGAAACGCGCGTCGAGTGCAAAAATATCAGTTTGGTGTTAGGGTAATTTATCTCTAGGAAAAGATTTCAAAAATCGGTTTGCAAAACCACTCACTACCTCACCTAACCCCACTGACACACGGCACTGATAAAGAAATATTGTGAAACGGACAAAAAATTTGTATTCAGCCAGTCCAGCTAGCCGAGCCTTCACTCCTCAACTACATTTGATAGCACGTTTACTAACTGGGCGACTGGGCGCCACAGCCAAAAATATTTTATGGCTGTACTCTTATTTTTATTGCCGTTCCAATTGGGAATGGATAGACTATACATATGTACAAATAAGAATTCAAAATTAAACTGTAATATCTCGATGAACACGTATTCAATTCAATCGAAATAAGCACCATTTGAATCAGTGAACGTATCACAATTCTGCCAACATGGAATTTTGTGCTTGGGATTCGATGAATTCGACGAATGGCCGTTTATGCCTGGTGCTGATTGACGAAGGTTCTACCGGTGAGAAATTTATTCAAGAGCTTGAAATGATGGTAGTCGGTTGGAGAGAGGTCTGGGAAGTATGGGGGGTGAAGCGCAACTGCTGATGCCGTTTCCTGTACATTTCGTCGATTTCTTCACAATAGGGTTCTGCTGTGAGGGTTTAGCACGGTTCCAGGAAGTTATAGCGAGTCACACCAGCCGAAGACCAGCATACCGGGACTTTTTTTTTGTTTGTGTTTTCGCCTTTGTTAAGTGTTTGTGTGGCTCATTGGTGTCCGCATTCACTCTCCTCAACGTTTCCAGTTGTCGCAGACGATCCACTTTTCATCATACGTGACAATCCGATCCAAATAAATTCGTTTTGGTCGCCAAGAGAAACAGGGTTTTAAATGAGACCAATCGTGGGGCACCCATTTATCGAACTTTATGACTTTATGACGCATGGGGGCTGACTTCCGTCATCGAACGCACCGTTTGTGATGGGTCAGTTACTACCAAGTTCTCAAATCCTCGTCTTGTATTACTGTAGTTCGACCACTTCTGGGCTCAACTTCGAGGCTACAATCTTCGGAGTGAAATGTCGCAAACCAACGTCGAAATGTTCATGCTGAGTCGACTTGTGTTACGTTGGCTAAATTGCACTTAATCAAATGTCGCTTTGTGGTATTGATATATTTTCACCTCGGAACTTGCCATTCAAAATGCTGGCTTCGTCAACGTTTTTCATTACTTTTCAATGACTAATCGCGTGTGGTTGCACAGCCGTGGTAGATTCAAATCACGGAGTGATCCAACAAATTATGGGGTAGTATGCTTGGCAAATCCAATGAGTTCAAAAACTCTGCTTCGGTGGCATCGCAAACTGTATCTACGCTCGAACGATAAACAATAATAGTGGCCGTGAACTGTATAGGGAGTGAGAGAAGGCTCATTGTGTGAGAGAGACAGGAGTCTCGCTTCGTTCTCATCCCTACCCCGTGCTATTTACTGAGTGTGAGAAGTGACACCGGCAAACGTCTGGCGGAAATAACTGATCTATGATCAGGGTTAAAATGATAACATTACTTGAATGGCATAAAATAGGGGTTAGGGATGGAAGGGTAGAATTTGAGGGTTATATGTATTCTATAATATATCTATGTTTTCACTTCTTCGATTGACGACTTGTTTATTTTGTGGAAATTCATGTTCACTGAGGATACACTACAAAAACACACTTTTGTCTATTTTCCACTATATTTCTTTATTGTTGACCGGTTTCGGCTATTACACCATTTTCA